GAAAAAAGAAAACATAAATAAAATTGGATATTATGTAGATGCAATGTCTATATTCACTGATAATAGGGCATGAGATATATAGTCTCAGACTCACGACAGTGGCTCAAAAATTAACAGAACAAATGTTATGGCTGATTATTCAGTAGAATAAAAGCCAAGAAGAAGAAGAAGAAGAAGTTCTATGAAATTGACGTAAAGAAAATTTGACATTTGAATATGTACCCATATGGGTACAACGGGAATATGGTAACGTTTAAAAATTTAACACATTTTTTAACTAAATATTTATTTAGTGCGTACAATATTACAATACAGTTTATTCAGTATTGTACTTTATAAACCACTCCCTATCCAAACATAATGTGGCTTGGCATTTGATGCAAATCCATCTTGCACGAAGATGGCATATTCTGCATTTAAGTTGTTTATCAATTTTCTGAGGATAATAACCATATTGACATTTTCTGTATCTTTACGAATACTAATTGGTACCGCCGCTGGATGTCTGAAATGTGAAGATTTATCAGATTTATCTAAATACTCGCATATAATGTCTACAGATGATTCTAACAAAATTTATCAGAGGTCACCACCATTTTTTACTTAAACAGCAATTCTATAATTATTTACTGACTGATCCAATAAATCAACACCTCCTATATCCGAAATATAATTAGTAAAGACCAAAGGTTGTGGCACACTTATTTTCTTTTGTTCAAGTTTAGACCAACGTTTGAAACAAGAAAGTGAATATTATCGTAATTACTCATCATATTCACAATCCTATTATTCTTCCACGTAACTACAAGTATTAAATTTTGTTTGTTATATTTGTATTGAAAAAAACCACGCTCACTTTTGTTCATTTCCTTAGCGCTTAGCAAGGGACATTTTTTAGTCCGATTCTCTCGAACGCTTCCAGTTGCTCTAATACCTAATTTTTTGTGTGGTTAAAAGAGCATGACTAGTGAAATAATTATTAAAATAAATGATATGATCTTTCGAATTCTCAATCACTTGTAATAACTCCAACACAATTATGTAACCCAACGGTAGATTACTATTTTCCTGAAACTGAACAACAAAGAAGTTTTTGTTCAGTTTTTCCATTACTGGTCGTAATTTATACATTTTATCAGTTTTGTTTAGCGTTTCGTTGTTGGTCAAATGAAAATATTTTTTTATATCAAAAATCCCATTTCTACGGGATTTAACTCAGCCATCTCTAATTTTATTTTCTCCTGGCGAACTAAATATTCATCTTCTCCTGTCATTGTTATATAAATTACTATATCTGTCATTGTAGTATCAACTACTGTATCTGTCCATTGTGGTGTAAAGCTGAACTCTTTACCTTTAAAGCATCTTGATTTCTGTCGATAGGTCACTTAACTCAAAAGATATCGAATTTTTCCGTCGAGCTATGCACATTTTATTGAACTAAGTAGTAGTGCCTCAATAGTCTTTGTTCTTAATATATTTCTCTGCTTATTTTTTAATGTATTGGCAACCGAAAAAATCATTTTAGATTTGCAGTCGAATGCGGTAAGGTCAATACATTAAAATCAAGTGGGGATAAATTGGGAACATATTTAGTCCACTACCATAATTAATTTCATTTACTTAACTCCAAAATGCTAATAAATCAGTATATTCAGACAACTCAGTGTTTCGTAAAAGTGTCCACTCATTATCTAATGATTGAAGATCACCCTGATTTATCCCAATCTTGCCCAATTTTGGTGACATATGTTCAATTGAATTAATGTTCCTATTTTTTTAATAATTGGTCCAGACCCTCTATATAAAACTTTTTATCTACACTAGACGTAGAAATGTCAAAACCATAGTACATCTCCTGAATAGGTAACATATTACTGGGATTTTTATAATCTATATATTATATAGATGTCTTTTTTTATAAAACAGTCCAAGAGAGTTTTTATAAGAGATTTGATATTTACATATAGGTAACTAATTTGTGGTGACTCTGACTTTTACTTTTTCCAAGACAGCCTTTAAATTTCGATTCATCTTCCCATGAGATTTTATATACCTGAGAATATTTTCTTTTTTTTCACAACTTTGGCACTAGTGTCACTTATACTGCTATCACTGTCAGACATAATTAGGTATTAATAAATATATACTCTTAACTTACCCACTGACCACTTGAATATGTGCAATAAATAATTTTATAATACTGAATTATCGTCATCTCGTTATAAGTCAGGCACCGCGTAGGGTGCCATTCAGGGATTTTACCAATGTTTATTTGAGAAAATCCCACAAAATTCAACTTTGAATGTCGTAATACATTCTTAATTACCACTTACTGCTGCTACATCATAGGCACGTGAATAATTAAATTGTGTCTCATATTCTTTAAAAAATATATCAAAATTAGAAACAAAAAATCTCAAAAATAATCATCAATCAAATATAAGTATACTAAGTTTTGATAACTGCTTTAAATTAAAAAATGCGGCAGAATAAGGTTTAAAAGGGTAGAGCGGTAGATCGAGGTGGACAACGGTAGATCTACTGTAAAAACGGTAGACCTGGCAGCACTGTCACTGGCTGGAGGAGCAAACGAAACCCGTTTACCCATAAATTTACACAGAGATAATCTCTGTTGTTCATTCCACCAAATGTCATTTAAAAAAATATTTTATAAAACAGGGAGACAAAATATTCAGTTTTTGTTGAGTGTCCCAAATGAGTACACTGGGATCAAATGGGTTAACATCAAGTTATTGTAGTTTTTTAGTAGAGTATTGTATAAAATAATGATAGTTATTGAAGAGGTGTTTTATGTCGCCCTGTAATAAAATCACCTTTATTTTGACATATATCAGCATGTCCAGTTTTGCATCCGTTATTTTTGTGCTTTAGTAAAATACAGAACGCCTGTATTTAAGTTATACGGGCTTTACATCAACAATAAATTCACGCAGAAATTCATGAATTTATTCTTCAATTTCAGTGTCAATAAATTCATGAATTTCTTGGATGTAAAAGTTTTTTTCACTTCAAATAAATTTTTACATCGAGTGTCATTATTTCAGTAGCATTATTGGTTTTATTATTGGATGCTATTTATTGTTGTTTGTTTGAATAAAAATATATTTGGATTTGGAAATATAATCAGAAAACAATATCGTTTTAAAATGAAAATAGTGATTAAGATTGTACAAAAAATTATGTTGAATTTGGTAAAGAGTAAGAGCTTGAACAAGAGGTAAAAATTAGTGAAAATTACATATAATTAGTGAAAACTGTTTATTTTAGACATAGAAGATAATTTCAAATAACTTTATAGCTAAAGAAACAGAAAAAGTGGCAATTTTTTTTTTATATGAAAGAACAAGAAAATCTAGCATTTTTTACATACTAAAAATTAACTGTAGTTAGTATACCTAAATTTTAATAAATTCATTGTGACTTTTAGAATGATGAAAGCCTTTATTTAAATACAATACCTGTCTGTACAAGTCGAAGTAAAGAAGAAAGAAAGCTACAATACTTTTTACAATCTTTTAACCACTATTCATAATATATTCTCAAGAGATATTTAGTTAATATAAATAAATAGCTATGTTTATTGTTAGAATATTGAGATGTGTACAATTCTAATCACAAAGAGAAGTTGTAAAGAAATGAATACTTAAAAATGAATAATACATGGAGATAACCAGTAATACTTTACCACTAGTTTGTGAGCTGATTCTTTACAATTTTAATGATTTGTCTTTAACATATTACAATTTGCTTTATTGAATAGTAGGGTAGGTTAGGACTAAACTAAATCGGTGTATAAAAATACAATAATTTTTAAACATTATATAATTTAAATAGTAAATGAAGAATCGTAATAACAGGAATAAACGCTAGTTTTAATATTTGGTATACACAAAGAACTATGATTTTTTTCTAAATAAAAAACTGTATACAGCTTTTATCCGTAGGATATGAAATTCTGCATTTTTAAAGAAAGATAGTCAATTTAAGAAGAACACTATGAATAATAAAGTATGAGTATAAGAAGAATGAATAAGACAGAACAAAATTAGTAGCAGGCCAACGGCTTCATGTAGAAAAAGAGGAGAAAAAAGCACAACAGAAACACGTCAGAGAAATGGAACTGGCGCAGACATGCATTGAAAAGAAGTAGATTTATTAGGTTTAAAAATTAAATTATACAAAGAAAAATTTAATAAAAAATAGAAAAAGTTATATGTATATTAGTGATTCTTCTGAGGTTTTCCCATAACACAAAAATATTTTATAGGGCTCTCAAACACCTTCAACTTAAGTCAATAATGTCTATTTACTTTGATTTTTCAATTGAATCATTTCAACTGTAAAATGGGAAACTTTCTTCTTCCACACACATTTTGTTACATATCTGGAATTCATTATACAAAATTTCAGGATGTCTTAGTGAATTGTTTTAGCGGACTTAGTCTGAATGTGAATTTAAACTCTGATCAATATTATGGAATTATCCATACCTGATTCAAAAAAATAGATGAGTGGACTCAACGCAAAGTTAATTTAAAAATCCTATTAATAATACAATATTATTCATACCTGGTTCAAAAAGAAAATATATCCAGGGAGTATCACCAAATTATCAGAATTTAAAATCTCCAAATTATTTTTTTGCAAGTTGCTGTTTCTGAGAATCATGAGCGGAATGTGACAACCTAGGTACTATATCCATATCAATCCATACTTTTCATTTTGCAATCTTCTAATACTTGGCATTTCAAAGAAAACTATCCTTTCCTGTTTCAGAAATCAATAGCATCCATATCTCTTAAAAACGTTAATTAATCCATTTTTAAACTTTCAAGATGATAAAAACATTTACCTAATGACTAGACCAAGTAAAAGGAGTGAAGAAAAAGGTAGAATTATATAGTATTTTATTAACAAATATTTACTATATATTCTCAAAGCATTAAATAAATATTTGTAAAAAACATGTAAGAAAGGGAAAAGTAAACAATTTTTCAATAAAAGCTAGAGTTTTATGCCTCGAAATTTTATGTTTTTCCTAAAAAAATATATAATATTATTTTCTGTTTTTTATTATAGAATAATAAACTTACCTGTTTTCCATAACTATTACTTGACACACGACTTAAAAATGCAAAGTTAAATTTGATTCAATAATCAAAAACAAAATAATTATTATCCCTACTTCGCGCCAAATCTACACAGGTTGGTGATACTGAATTCACGTCAAATAAATGAGAAAAATAAAACATGTTCTATTTCGTCAATTTCTTCACGTACTTTGTTATTCATGAATTTATTCACGGCAAAATTGGATGTCAAATTTTACTTTACACACGTCAAATTTGACCTTGAAGCGACTTCATGAATTTCTTCATGAATTTATTATTGGTGTAAAGCCCGTATTATATACAGGCCGGAAAACTTTTATTTAAAGATCCCATATTTTGAAGTAACCTGTCAAATTACGACTAGAAGGAAGAAAGACGTGTAACCTCATTTATATTTGTATGGACATTTGATCAAATTTGTTGTATGATGTTCTGTTTTATTTAATGAATATTGTTTTTAGTAATATTATTATTCTCAATCAGTAAATTTTCATGATTATTATTTTACGTTATACAGATAACATTTATATTTAACAACTCTATTTTTTCATCATTTGCGCCAATAAATCTAGCTATCTGGTTCTATAATTAACAAATAGAACACGTTAGCCATAACACTTTTTTAGACATGAAGTATATTTTTTCCTTTACTAAACGATTCTGTAATTAAGGCGACTGTCATCTTATGGTTTCAATAATTCTATAATATAATTAACTACCAAAAGAGACAATACCAGTTTATCATGTGTAAAAGTATATAAGTCATAAAAAGATCGGATTGGTAAATCTTTAATTCAGTAAAACTATTACTTACTGCATTCATTAAATGATGCGATTGATTAAAAGCTTACCTAAGTGCATAGGTGTTCTATCTTGATTGTCTGTAACACTAGCCGATGCCCTTACTCCATAGAAATACTTGACCAGAACTTCGTCACCTTCTGCAGCAGCGATATGTAGTGGGGTCTGACCTTCGCCATTTCGAATGTCCACGCTTGTACCATAATCAACCAGTATCCTTACCTGAAACATTTCCATTTGATTTCTTACATACACTACGCTAACAAATACGTTTGTTTGATCAAATATATGTACTTTATGTTGACATACTTAAATGACATTATTTTTGGATGCGTAGGTTAAAAGATAAACTTACCATGTCAATATCCTTTCGTCGTACTGCTAAATGAAGAGCCGTGTCTCCATTGGCTGATTGCGCCTTCAGCTGTTCCGCCGTTTGTGCGCTTAACAATTCTCTGCACATAGACTGGTTACCAGCTTCGACAGCTAGCAACAGGGGTATCTTACCTCTCTGAAATAAATTAAACAAAATTTTATTTTTTAGTTACAGAAAAATAAATTTAAAATATTTCTGTCCTGCTCAAAATGCTGACAAGAAATGAGAATTTAAATCAATCCAAACTTAAAGATATTAAAAGTAAGGTTATTATCAAACTATAAACACTCGAAAGCAGAAGATAACAGTTGTCATCAACCAAGTGATATTTGATATGTAGTTTTTATTTGTTAGACCACATTACAAACATTATAGAAAAATGGTGACTAGGAGAAACAAATGGAAAGGTGAAACATCTTCTAATGTAGTGTACCGACAAGGAACTACCCATAGCAAACACCATCTTCACATACCACCAGCGACGATTATACATATGGAAGTCAATTTGAAAGGTATTGATAGGTATTGCAATCAAAGAAATTGCGTACTAGTTGTACAAAGATAACGAAGCCGAAACTCTATTACGGCCAATCGCGCCGCAAAAACTGAGTGCCGTTCGCAGGTGGTTATCCTCAGTTTGTAGTTGCGATTACTTTCGAGCATTCATCGAGGTTTTGGGCGTTACACAAAAATAAAAATTAATTATTACTTGATGTTTTTGAAGTGAAAACTTCTTCAGCGACGTTATGCACTTTTTGGGTAGGAAAAAAGGATTGAATTCTCGACCGTTACTACTATCCGAGATACATTATATATAGGTACATATATGTGTATGTATATATAAATAATATTTTTTTTTGTTTAATAAAACTCTAACAGGAATCTTATGACTATTGCTATCTGATCATTCACTATGATCTATAAGCAAGTTAGTTCTATATATAAATATTACAAGAAACTTATCTAAGGTTATATTCAGCAATATTCCTTAGGCTCTAATACATTATAGTACTACTAGCTAACGTGTACACTTTAGCCGCACTTTACTCTGCTTTTTCACTTTCACTCACTTATAGCACTAAATCAAACGGCTTCGTTCTCTTTAGTCTTCTTATCTGGTTGGCGTTGTCTAGGAGTTTGATGGTCTCGACGTTCACGTGGTTGGAGAGCCTTTGTTCATGACTTTCGGCATACTTACTTATTCTCTGGATAACTGTATCCATCTGGAGGTCTCGATGTAGCTCACAGTTTCTAAAGTACCATGGAGCGTTAAAGATGTTCCTTAATACTTTATTCTGATATCGTTGTATATGTTGGATGTTGCTTTCTTTTGTACAGCTTCATAGCTGTATTCCGTATGTCCACATCGGTTTAAGGACTTGCTTATATAATAGCAATTTGTTGTAAATAGACAGAATGGATTTTTTTTCCCATCAACCAGTACATCTTTCTGAACTTAATTTCTAATTCCTCCTTTTTTTCTTAACATGTGCTTTCCAACGTAGCTTGGAATCTAACGTCATACCCAAATATTTTGCCGTATTTTCATAAGGTATTTGGTTTTTATTTATATGTACTGGGATATGTTGTTCACTTTTGTTAGTAAACTTGACATGAACAGATTTTGTTTCATTCAATTTGATACTCCATCGGCTGGTCCAGATGTTAATTTGTTCAACAGAGTTCTGTAGCATGGTAGCTGCATCCTCGTGGTTTTGTCCGACTGCTAGAATGCATGTGTCGTCTGCAAATCTCGCAATTGTGTTAGGTTCTAATGATGGAATATCGCTGGTATAGAGCAGGTATAGCACTGGCCCCAGGACACTTCCTTGTGTCCTGGATACTTCATGGACTTGCGTTATATACATATATAACGCAAGTACATGATGCACGCAACTTATATAATACATAGCAATTCTTTTTGGATGGGGAAAAAGGATTGAATTCGCGACCGTCACCGCGAGATATATTATTTGTATATATATATATATATATATATATATATATATATATATATATATATTTTCACATTTCAAATTTCACATATAGAATAAAGTTCTACACCAAACTGGCTTATACCATCTCTAGCTGACCCTTGTTTTGACGCTTTCCCGAAAGTTATCCTCCAAAGAATTATATATATATATATATATATATACAGTATATGACGCACGCAACACGTATATAATATATAGCAACTCTTTTTGGATGGGGGAAGTTTTCACTTCTCTCGGCACTCCCCCAGTGCTTTTTTTTTGTAGGAACATCATTTTGAGTTAACAATATCTTTTCTGATGATAGTCGTCTTGACAGCTGTCAAGTAATTAATGCTTATTAGCAATAGACATAATCGTCTATCAGGGCAATTAGTTAGATTTACGATGAAACATATTTAGTTTAACATATGGAATAACAATGTTAGTTGGATAGAGGGGATTTGCGAAGAATGATGGGAATGTCGCAAGACGCTGTTCATGCTTAAATAATTGTTGAATGTAACTATACCCGTAATAAGTATAATATAATTTGTACCCGTAATAAGCTTCTGAAACTGTTTTATTGTGTCATGTCTATTATTATTATTATTATTTAGGATTAAGCTACAATTTATTGTAATGAAATTTACATTTTTAACTAATATTTGACGTTTCTATTTCCACTCCAATAATCTTTTCCAAAAAACGAATATTTTAAAAATAGCATACTTATGGTTAAAAAAAATCTAAGGATGGTGTTAACCCTCAGAAAATAAAATTCTGAAAGTCTGACTGTTTTGTGTGATTTTTTGTATAAAATGTTTGTGTAATTTGTGTTTACGTAGATTATATGTTTGTGTGTTATGTGTTGCATATTTCTAGTCTATAAATTGTGAATATCATGTCTCACACTTCCTATTAATCCCATATTGTTGGTATATTCTTATTCTTAACTTCTTTCAGTGTTGGCAACTAAAGCCTGTTACATTCTGCTGATAAGTTTGCTACACATTTTCCTTCATTAATTAGGCTTTTGATGAGAGCTGCTTTTTTTCTTTTTCATGCCTGTTTTTTCAATGCTTAATGGTGCATCTTCCCCTTGATGCATGTTTGCACATCTGAGAGTTCTTGATGTTTCTCTCACACAAAATTTTTTGTATACATAGGGTATTTTACAGATGCAGTTCTTTGATTTGTCTTGTGTCTTGTTGGGTTTAGTTTTGGACAGGATAGATCTCAGTGTATTGATTGTTTTAAATGTTGTTCTGATATACTTATTTCCTATACTTTTAAATTTTTCTGATAAGCCCTTTACGTATAAATGGTAATTGTGAGTACGAATTTTTTGTCACAACCTTTGTTAGTAGGTTTTTTCCTCTTCCTTTTTCTTCTTTTTTTATGTAGACATGACTTTGACTGTTTTTTAATGCGCCTCTAGTAACTTATTTCTTCGTTTACGTGGTCTTCCTAGCGATCGTCTGCCTATTGAAGAACCGTCTCTTGCCATCTTCACTACTCTGAGTATTTTTTTCTCCTCTTTTTGGCAGGTCGTATTTCTGCCACGTATATTATTATTGGTCTGATGACTGTTTTGTACATTTTACCTTTCATTTCTATCCCAATATTTGTATTTCTCCATAGTGTTTCATTCAGACAACCTGCGGCTCTATTTGCTCTATTCTCTTGGTCTTCCACTTCCGTTGTGAGCTTTCCGTAGCTAGATAATGTAATGCCTAGATATTTTCTATCACTTGTTCTATTATCTAACCTTGCCGCTCCAATTTACACTTTAGTAAGTTTGGTGTTAGAACTTATATTTTGTCTTTTTTTGGTGAAATTAACATGTTAAATTTTCTGGAGGTTATATTGCTGTATAAGCTGTTTTTTTTCCTATTTGGTATCCCTTTTTAGTTTTTATTTTTTATTATTTCATCCAGTACGTAGTGAGCATTCACAGTAAACAGACGATCCTTAAAATCACATTAAGTGGCAGATAAGTTTTTGCGGTGATTAAAAATCAATATTTATATTTATAATTTAAATTTTGTGTAAATATATCGATTAGATATTTGGAATTTTTGTGAAAATAAGTGATTTACCTCCCCTAATGGGGGAGGAAAAAAACAGTAAGACGCAAATGTGCGATTTAAGTGTTGCGACAAGTTCTCCAGAACATGACATGGAAATTGGTGCGAGTTTCGGTGATAAAACTGACAAAACAAGGGAAGTAAAACTTTATAACATTTCTTTTAATAATTATGATTTTCATAGCTGTTGCGTATATATCGAGAATTTAAATAATCAGAACATTTCTCGTTTACATCTGTAATAATCAGAGGCGACTCCGCTGTCACCAATGTAAAATAATAGAAATGGGAGCGTTATGTGAAGTTATGGAAACGCTGTCACCAAATGAAATACACAATAGATCCTCATGGGATGCTAACCCTGCGAGCGGCTGCAAGGAATACTGGTCACACTGGTCTGGAGGGCTGGCTCGTCTTCGTGGATTTACGAGAAGACAAGGGATTTCGGGATAGGGGTAAGGACTCCTAGGTCTCAGGTCCTGTAAGGAGCAGAGGTTATGGGCTTACTTTTGAAGCCGGAGATATGCATACGCAGAAATCTCGTGTTCTCCTAGTCTCTAGTGAGTCGCACGAAAGGAACATTAAAAAAAAACCAAATTAGAGTCAACAATATATTGAATCTACCCTGAAGTTACTAATACAATCGTTAACCTGTTATTCTGCGCGTCGGGAGACGATGTAGCAAGATAGTGAAGAGTTGACAGTGGTACTAATATAATTACCCAGGTTAGTATAAGAAATCTGTTACCTTATGTGTATATTAGGGCTTCAACCACGACACGTTCAGTCGTCTGGAACTCGGTCAGTTGAGGGTTGCGAACTTTCGAGCTGCCACAATAACCGGACTACACGCGAACACTGCCAGATGATACCCGGCCCCCGGAGAATCACCGATTGTCTCGCGTACTGTTCGCGTACTGGACGCTATCGCGTCCAGCCGGAGTTCAGCAATTACTGATCGCCCATTACTGACTGACTGACTACTGCCTTGGCTGTCCCCGTTTTCTAGTTTTTATCGAATGGTGTCCTCATTGACCGGTTATAGTCCAAGGTTGTGTTTTCGTTGAATTGTGGGTCCTATATTGCATCACAATAACAGTTTTTTGTTTGACGTGCTTTTCTAT